GACTTGAAGGCACACAACAACAACAACAACAAAGCATCTGATGGAGCAGGTTAGAGATCACCAAAGTCAATGCCAAATAAAGCTGGCTAGTCTGTAAGGTGCTACAAAAATCCTTGTTGGTTTAGCTGCAAGGATATGGTGGTCTCCGAACTTTATCGCTCTTTCAACACCACTCCCATCTATGCAGGTTATCAAGAACAACATAAAAACCCTCCTCTCTTCTTTCAGAGAGTTGCCTTTGGTGGTTTGCGACTCTTGCCAAATGTGCAAGAGTGGCTTTTTCAATGGCCTTGAAGCAGAATTATCCTATTATATCTTTATTTTTTTGCAAACTGGGGAAGCAAGGAGGAATAAATATTGTGGATGGCAGCTCACAGAGCATCCAACTCAGGAGGCTTGGATTAGTCTAATACTATTATTATTATTATTATTATTATTATTATCCCAAATTATTCACTGTTGTTTTTCCTGTGTCACAAATCTTATTCCTCTCTGCCTCTTTCACATAGGATTCCTGCTATTCCTTCCCCGATTTCATTAACAGTGAATTTTCCCTGTGCATCAGATGTTTTTGTCCCTCTTCCAGATTTTCTGAGAGCATTTATAGTCACCGCCATTGGATTTATAGCAATTGATCACAAAAGCATTTTCTAAATCCTAGTGAGGGAGGTGCACAGGCTGAGAAACAAATTTATCATTGTGCACCACCAGGCTTTTGCAAGACTTCCAGTCTGGCTTGATGATGGCTTCCATGCTAGTGGACCGGTGAATCCGCACAGTGTTTTAGTCCAAATTTGAAAGAGAGCTCAGCATATTTGGATATTTTAAAGTTTAGACAAATACCAGGAGTGGATTCTTTGCTACACTGACATGGGAGCGATCAGTTACCATTGATCCCCAATATGGGCTGTCTGAAAGATTAAAGAGTTTTATTAGTTGGGAGCAATAAAATTGTATTTTGCAATTGGTTGGCTCCTGGCAATTGAGTATTTTAAAGAGAAGTTTTGGATATCACATTGAGCAACACCTGGAAATGTTTTTTTTAATGTATTTATTTATAGTCTTTCTTTCTTTCTTTAGAGTATTCAGCCAGATAGGTTCCCAGAATGGCTTACAAATCATTAATTTGTACAATTCCCTGCCTTCGGGCTTACAATCGAAATAAGACATAAGTAAGGAAAGAAGGGAACGGCAGTGAGGAAAGGGATTTCTCCAATTTCTAAATATGTTTGGAAATTTTAAAGGCTTCAAAGATCTTCTAAGATCACAATAAATAAATAAATAAATAAAATAGGAATACCTCACACATGGTAACTATCATGCAATGTTGCAATGATATGCAACTATATAATGTTGTTGAATCTCTGTAAAAGAGAAAAGTGAGATTGTTGAACCAGTTTCAAAAAACAAAATGGCCCTCTCTCTCATGAGCTAAGTAATCCCGCTTTTCCTTTAAAAAAAGGTTTTTGATATGAAAACAGGAGTCTTTGGCTGAAAGACAAAAATAGGGATATGTACAGACAAACGTCTCACCCAAACCGCCATCCCAAATCCCATGAAGATGGCAGTGCCAACTCAAAGCTTTTTGTCACTTGAGATGGCAGGGTTGCCAGATTGAAAACCGGAGAGGGCTCCTGCGCCTTTAATGGTTGTGTAGAAGGGGGAGATTTCAGCAGGTGTTGCGTGTTACCTGGTTGTGAGACAACAAGCAACACCTGCCGAAATTGTCCTTTCTCCGCAACCATTAAAGGAACAGGAACCCTCTCCGGTTTCCAAACTGGCGAGGCCTAAATACCCAAATGCACCAGATCTTGTCTGATCTTAGAAGCTCTAATGCACTTTGCAATCAAGTAGCCTTTTATAACATTTTTGAAAGTTACTTTTACAATAAATGGTCTTGGCCTTGTTAACAAATGTACAGTGCAACAATGTAATCATAGCCAATTTGCTAAATGCATTACAGTTACTATTTTCAGGGTATTCCTTTGTTTGTGATCATAGCAGCTAAGCAGGGTCAGCCCTAGTTAATACTGGCATAGGATGTCAAATAATTTGTCAAATAGGATGACAAACGCTGTCAGCTCTGTTTCCGAGGAAGGAACTGGCAAAAGCACCTCTGAATATTCCTCGCCGAAGAAAACCCTATAAAATGAATGGGATCACCATAGGTCGACGGGTTGAGTTGAAGGCACATGCATGCATGCAAGGTTCGTAATCTATCGAAATACCAGATTTGCCAAGATGATATTATTATTATTATTATTATTATTATTATTATTATTATTATTGCTATTCGATCTCTCTGGAAGGTTTTGTTTTACACCTGCACCTTTAAGGGTTGGTCTGCAAAACCTCTTTTTATAGAGGCATGACCTGGAGGGGGACTAGCCCAGAGGTAATCCCTCATGGCAAACAGAGCATGTGTGCTCAAGATACCGGGTGCATGATAGACTCTTAACCCTTTGGCTGGAAACAGCGGTGCCTCTCCCACCATCCCCACCATCCCAGGCCAGAGTTAATCCATCAAACTGGGAGAAGCCTGCTGGCAGCCCATTAAACATTAACCCTGGTGCAGATCTGCTCCCTTTTCGGCACCATCAGGCGGGTGTTACCAATGCTCCCAGGTTGGGTGAGGTCCGTCTTTTTCCACTGCCACCACCAAGAGCTTCCATTGCCACCTACAATACACAATCACTTTGTGGCAGAGGAGCCTAAGAGAAGTTGAAATCACGTATTGGGACACGCTTTGGTCCTGGAACCAAACCCCAGTGAATACCAAGGACCCCCAGTTTTCCAACTGTACTTTGTTTTGCATCGTTGTGAGCTGGCTCGAATCCTGTGCCAGGGGAGAAGTGGGCTAGAAATAAAAATAAATCCTCCCTGCAAAGGTTATTATTGCTAGACTACAGGCTGAACATTTCATGGGGGTGTTCTGAACTATGTGATGATTTGAGGGCTCCTTCTCATTTCTGGGGCACACATCCCAAATTCATCCCAAGAAAGGAAGATTTCTTCCTTAACCCTGGAAATATACTAGATTAAAGCAAGGGAAATGTGAGCCAGTGTGGCATAGTGGTTTGGGTGTTGGACTACAACTCTAGAGACCATGGATCTATTCCAAGCTTGGCCATGGGTGAGTCACACTCTCTCAGCCTCAGAGGAAGGCAAGGACAAAACTCCTCTGAACCAATCTTGCCAAGAAAACCACATAATAGATTCGACTTAAGTTGGAAATGTCTTGAAGGCACGCAACATGTGAATCTACATCAGAGCCATCATGGTGTAGTTGTGGTTTGACTACAGTTCTGGAGGAAACTAGGGTTTGAATCCCCATTTGTACCTGGAACCCCCCTGGGTGACTTTGGCCGTGTCACACTCTCTCAGCCTCAGGGGAAAGCAAGGGCAAACCTCCTCTGAACCAATCTTGCCAAGAAAACCCCACGATAGTTTCTCCTTAGGGTCGCCAGAAGTCGGGAACAACTTGAGGGCACACAACAAGCGATGGGAATTGCAGTTTGGCCAATTTGGAGGGTGCTAGGCTGGGCATGGATGCTGGAACGGGTAACGTCTCCCCCTTCGGCACAAGATAGCAGCTTTTCCACCGGAGGAGGCCAACCCTTGTGGAAGGAAGGAGACACTGGTTCCTTCAAAAAAGAGAGGGGGAAAATTGCCGTTGTGAGTTTAACTTTCCCCCTACGAGTTTTGGAAATCCACCTTCTTCCACATCAACTGGGACCTTCTTCTCTCCAAAGCCCCCTCCTTTCCTTTCCTTTGCAGCAGCCACCACACCACTTCCATTTCCACACACAGACACAGGCATGCATGCACACCCTGCGTCCGTCTGAGTTGTCCTCCTGTCTTACACCTTGGAAGGAAACTGGCAACCTGGACAGGAACATCTTTATACTCCCAGCCTGGAAGCCCAGGTCTTCACACCCAGCCCACCTAGAGGGATACAAAGGCCCAAGTGTTTGGTGTCTCCCCCCCTGTCCTGGTCTGCAAAGCCCAACTGCCTGGAAAAGACACACAGGGCCCCGGTGTTGGTTTAAGAATGTATGGAGGGAGATATATATATATATATATATATATAAAACTACTCCAAGCAACCGGGCCAGGAGACGGATGTTTTCAGGGAAACCGAGCGAGGATGTGAGGAAGGTTGGACAGGCAGTGGCCCAGCAAGCTCAGGGGTACATTGGCTACTATGCAAAAAACAACAACAACAATAAATAAAATAAATTAAAATAAATTAAATTAAATTAAATTAAAAATGAAATCAAATAAAAAATAGTTTGGTCATCTCGTCTCTTTCTTTCAGAATTGTGGCACTGGCTCAGCAACGCTGAGCACCAATGGGGTACATCAGCTACTTTTTGCAAATTAATAATAATAATAATAGTTTTGCTATCTCTTCTTAACTTCAGAATTGTGGCACTGGCTTAGCAATGTTAAGCACCAATGAGGTACATCAGCTACTTTCCATAATAATAATAATAATAATAATAATAATAATAATAATATGATGATGATGATGATGATGATGATGATTATGATGATATAATAATAATAATAATAATAATAATAATAATAATAATTTATTTATAGCCCGCCCCTCTGTCGAACAATCGGGGTGGCTTACAACAATTATTGCTATCTCTTCTTCCCTTCAGAACTGTGGCAGTGGACTAGCAAGTTGAACCTCAATGGGGTGCATCAACTACTCTGAATAATAATAATAATAATAATAATAATAATAATAATAATAATAATAATAATAATAATAATAATAATAATAATGTTATTAGGCCATCTCTTCTTTCCTTCAGAACTGTGGCAGTGGCCCAGCAAGCTGAGCCTCATCAGCTACTTTCCATTATTATTATTATTATTATTCCATCTCTAATCTGCCTGAATCAATCAATCAATCAATCATAAGCAGGATAAATAAATAATGAATAATCAGGAGAAGACAGGGCAGACTCTACCCTTCCCAGGAGGCTTGGGCAAAAGCACACTGCTGCCCCTTGCCTAGCTTGTCATTCCTCCTGTTTCCTTCTTCTTGTTCCCTGCCTTTCTGCCCTTCCTCATCTCCTTGTGTGTGTGTTTTTAGGACTGTCCCGGGGTTGCATTTCTTTCTAGATATTTCCTGTCTGGGCTCTATTAAACAAAAATAAATCACGTTGCGATTCATTTGCAGAGCCTAATAATTGGAGAAGGAAGAAACAGGAAAGTCATGTCGTGGTGTTGCTAAGATGCTAAGATTTCTTTGGCTTACGCCAGCAGCCGCCGTGGCTGTAGATGTTCCTCTTTTATTTGATGGACATTCCAAAGGACATTCCATTGAATATGGATTTGATGCACCCTGGACTTTTTGCACAGGGAAAAGCAGGATCTAAAATAAGGAGGAAAGGGCTAGGGGTTTTGTTTTGTGTGTGTGTTGCCCCTCTTGCTCCTTGCAAGGGGGTGAGGCCTTTGCACACCAGAAGGAAGCTCTCTGGGCCCATCTGTCATGGAAGTGACGGAGGCAGCCGTGGTGAGGCTGGTCTCTCTGGCTGGTGGAGCAACCCATGTGTGGGACCATGAAAGGAGCCTTTGTCGTCTCTGGCCGGCCGCGCCAGGAGCCAAGGGAAAGGGCAGGGTGCTGCTGTGCCCTCCCGCCGGTTATTTATAACTGCCAGCAGGTATTCCACGTCCCCACCCAACCCACTGCCAGGACTTAGGCAAACTCACCTGATCCTGCAAGGCTAAAGGCTTCTCGGAGCCCTGGGATCCTAGAACCCGAGAGTTGGAAGAGACCCCAAGGGTCATCCAGTCCAGCCCCATTCTGCCATGCAGGATCTCACCATCAAAGCACCCCTGGCAGATGTCCATCCAACCTCTGTTCAAAAGGCACCAAAGAAGGAGACTCCGCCAACCTCCAAGGCAGCATCTTCCACTGTCGAACAGCTCTTACTGTCAAGAAGTTCTACCTAAGGTTGAAGTGGAATTGGTTTTCCTGTAGTTTGCATCCATCGCTCCATTGTGTCTGATTCTCTGGAGCAGCAGAAAACAAGCTTGCTCCATCCTCAATATGACATCCCTTCCAATATTTAAACAGGGCTATCATGTCACCTCTGAACTGTCTCTTCTCCAGGCTGGACATGCCCAGCTCTCTAAATCATTTCTCATAGCGCATGGTGGTTTCCAGACTCTTCACTATTTCATAGAATCACGGAATTATAGAATCATAGACTTGTAAGAGACCCCCAAGGGTCATCCAGTCCAACCCCATTCTGCCATGCAGGAACTCACCATCAAAGAACTCCCAAAAGATGGCCATCCAGCCTCTGTTTAAAGACCTCCAAAGAAGGAGACTCCACCACTCTTCACTGAGGGAGTGTGTTCCACTTTCCAACAGCTCTTACTGTCAGGATGTTCCTCCTAATGTTGAGGTAGAATCTCTTTTCCTGTAGCTTCAGTCCATTGCTCTGTGTCCTATTCTCTGGAGCAAGAGAAAACAAACTTGCTCCATCCTCAATGTGACATCCCTTCAAATATTTAAACAAGGATCTCATATCACCTCTTAACCGTCTCTTCTCCAGGCTAAACATCCCTAGCTCCCTAAGTCTCTCATCATAGACCATGGTTTCCAGATCCTTCACCATTTTGATGG